TTGGTATGGGAGGGATAGTATGGGTGTGGGGTGATAATTGAGAGATTTTGTGTTGTAGCTCTCTGAGTGCAGTAAGGACGCTAGGTGAAGTGCCCGAGAGCTCTAGCTCATTATTGACCATCTTGATGCATTGTTTGTTGTTCTGTTGCAGTGTTTGCAATGTTTGGAATGTTGTCTCCAGCCAGTCGAGGAGCTCTAATGACAGCCGCCATTGTTCTCTTCATGTTCATGGGGTGAGAATTGACTCACTTTTCTCTCCTCTCTTTCTGTTTCAATATTCACTCTCTTTAGTACATAAAACTATAGTTTTGAACTCCTCATTTTCTTGCACTGAGCTTATTCCGGTATCTGGTTCCTCTCATTTTCCACTCGATGAGTCGCTAAAACCTCCCACATTCTCGCTCCATAACACTACAAATGACTCGTCTCTCCCTCCATCTCTCTCCGCCACAGAGTGGCTGCAGGCTACCATGCTGCCAGACTGTACAAGACCCTGAAAGGCTCCGACTGGGAAGAAGGGAGCTCTTCTGACGGCCACTCTCTATCCCTCCACCTTCTTTGGCATGGGCTTCTTCCTCAACTTCTTCATCTGGGGAGAACACTCGTCCGTGAGTCTTTTAGTCATGTGACTGTCACGTGATATGCTCTCTGGAGCAGTGAGTATTACTGATGATATTGTTTTAGTCATGTGACTCTCGTATGTAGAATAGATACAGTAGATCACATGACTGATCACATGACCTCTCCCTGCAGGTACCATTCACCACCATGCTGGCTCTGCTGTGCATGTGGTTTGGAATATCCTTCCCCCTCGTCTTCGGAGGTTCCTATTTCGGGTTCCGGAAACAGCCGTACGAACATCCGGTGAGGACCAATCAGATTCCTCGACAGATCCCCGAGCAAGTCTGGTACCTCCATCCAGTCTTCGCGTAAGTACCTCTGATTATCAGCTGGTGTTTGTGCTTTTTCCAAACTTGTTTTGAGCGTGGGCTTTGGGAAATAATATAGAGGAACTGGGGATGTCATTTTGGGCACTTGCTACGTGGATAACCCTCCATTTAATATTGTACACCATGTGTTGCTTAAACTTGATTGAAGAACTTAATGTGACTCTCTTTTTCTCTCTCTGTCTCTCCAGAGGACATCGACCCAACTGTTGGCAAGTTCCGTAACATGGTCCAGACCACCATCCTGCCTAGCAAGAAGAGACGGCTCTCCAACGACCCAGCCACCCCCTCCCCCACCACCCTTACCTCCCTCACCTCCCTCCCTCCCTCCTCTACGGAGCACATTCCTCCCTCTTCCTCCTCCCCTCACCCCGTCTCTCCCTCGGAGTCTCAAGTCACGTCTCCTACTCTTGGGTTCTCCTCCTCTCTCATCACTAAAACAATCACTGCTGGTATGTGTATGTGTGTGCAGTAGTCTATAACTCAGTACACAGACACTACGGAAGAATTCAGTAGTGGAACAAAAAGGACAAAAGTACCGGAGATGAAAACATAATTATGTAGGAGAAATACAAAACTGTAAAAACTGTGGTTTCCACTTTTCCGTGGTATCCACTGTTCACTGTACAAAAGGCTGTTCAGATTACGGTGTTTATAGTAAAAGTGGAATGTGGCCGTACAAATTACTGGCTATCACATTATAATACGACACAAAAACGCAAAATAATTTCTCTCTCTTGCAGCTCCACCGGTTCAAAGTCCATGGTCACGGCAACCGCAGCCTCCTCCACTGATGGGATTCAGCGGTGGAGGTCTCTATGGTAACCAGGACGTGGGACGCTATTTGTCGGACTCGGAACCGAAGAAGAAGAAATATGCAAAAGAGGCGTGGCCTGGGAAGAAGCCTACTGCTCATTTACTGTTATAATTGCACATGATATCAATCAATGATAATTAACACATACTGAAGACATTTGTGGTCCCTTCAGATGTGCAGTGCAGTATGCATGTACACTGTGGCCATGATAGATACTTCACATGGTGGCTATTCCTTTCTGACTTTTTATGCAAAAATGAATCTACAACACTAGTGATAAAAATGATGAACTACAAGTTGTCAAAAGTCTTTGCAACCTATAATCCATCTTTTAGACTATAATTTTATAGTCAGATGATAGTCTGGTGTCCCGGTTTCCGCGAGTTTTCCAATTAGCGCACATCGGGCAAGCCCCTCCTCACCTCCCACACGTCTCTCTCGAGATGTCGGTGGCAGCGGACGTCTCTGACTGGATCGCCACTCCTGCTCAACTCAATAGAAATAAGTGTGGAAAGAAAGCAGTGTTTTCAAGAGATAACTCCATCGTCCAGCGGCGAGATCTTGAGTGGGGTGGTGATTGTGTCTGTTACACAGTCCATCCCCTGCCTCCAGGGCAGGTGTGGCAGACCACCGTCCTTGAGACTACCACTGGGTGGGGTGATGGACTGGTGAGTGGATGTGTACCAAGTCTCCTATATACAAAGACAAGTAAACACAGCTCCACTATGACAGCTACAGTTTGTAACATATTGTGTTGTGTATGCAGGATCCTCATCTAATATGAGTGATCATGTCTTTTGAACTCATGTTCAATTTTTTTTGTAAGTATTAATGCGTAAAGTGCCTGACTTGACGAATGCATTTTCAGTAAAGTGTTAACCGAGAATGTATGTATTGTTTGGTAGAGGAGAAGGTCCTTGGGAATGAGCTACCCACCACCCAGTTCTCTAGGCTGGGCATCTGGTGTCCCACTCTCGTGTACAACATGTCGTGTAGTGTATAATTGTACTGTTACGTACTTTTTGTCGTGTGGTGTTCATTAACGGCCCTTAGTAAAATTAATGTGAGTTTCTACGACATATTTTAATAAACAAGTTCTCACATGTGAGTGCGTACTAAGGTTGTTTCTGCAGTAGAGCAAATGTACAAGTGTCTTTGTTGTGCATGTCTCTCTCATCATTGGCAGAGCCTGGAATGAGACTTAGTGTTAGTTGTCACTCCAGACACACTCCGAGATCTTCCATGGTCACCAGTCTATCTGACTGCACTGTATATACCTCTAGAGAGAGAGAGGGAGCAACTGTTTGTGATCACTGCACACACAGACACACACTCCATGCAGCCAGTACTTTCCCATACATACTACATACAGCCTACAAAGTCCTAATGATCTTCTCCATGTCTAGAATTAATTAAGGTGACAAGATAGGATTGTGTCTACTACTGTTTAGGCACATGTCTCTTTATCCTGTGTATTATGGTATGTAACAGTGGGTGTGTCAACTGATATTCATTACAGTCACATGTCACACTAGGATTCCTTATTCACATCAGAATGAAATATTATACTATGTGTAGTTGTGTTGTTAGGTACCTTGCGACCTCGTTGCTTTTTACATACTTTATATATGATAATATGCATTCACACATGTCTCTTTTAAATTCCTAATGTAATTAGTAACTACCTAACATCGATGTTGTTAAGTCTCTCCATAATATGCTGGTTCTCTCTGCATTATTGAGAGTTGCTAATTAATTTTTCTTAGTCAGTAACAGTACTATTTGTACATGATATGTGATGTGATTACATATTTTCTCAGGTTGTTGGAGTGACTGCCACTCTACCTGATGTGGTGCCTTCTTACCTGACAATGCCTGAGTCTGGACCCCATGAGTGGAACTATCGAAGAATATCATTATGGCACGATGGGAGGGAGCTGTCTTCAAGTCTTCCTGATCTCGACGATCTCAAACCTCATCAAAGAGTCGGACTTCTTCTCACTGCTAGTGATGATCTTCATGTCTTCATCGATGGATGCCACAAGAAAAAGGTAGCATAACGGGCTCGGGGAGTGTCAGCATGCTCGCAATGTGTTCATAATTATGTATATCATTCCTTATATACCATCCCTATCTCGTCTCTCTTCCTTTTCCACATATTATTTAAAGGTAGCATCTGGTCTGCCAGTAAACAACCATCTGTGGGGAGTAGTGGATGTGTTATGCAAATGTACCAAGATCAAATCTGAGCTACTGAGTGGTGAGTTGGATGGTATAGCATTAATGTTATCTGTATGCATGTATTTTTAGCATAATATTATGACAGTATAAAATCAAGTACTACTTGACATGATGTACATTCATAGATGTCGTAAAAAATTTCCGTTTATACGCATACTAGGACATGTAGGTGTTGTGTGCAGCTCTAATTTTGTCTCCTAGGAAACAGTATTGTGAGATTCTTGTGCATGTATGCATGGTCTGTATGTATATACACTGTTGCTATATGCTGTATACTGGGACTGATACATAGTAAGAGGATTTGTACAGCATGATAAATAGTAGGAAACATGCATTCTAGTACTTTTTTAGAAGGAAAGGTCAGGCAAAAGGATTTCCACAGCTGCATCTCATAGTCCAATGTCTGCTACTTTTGTTATTTACATGTATAATTATACACCTATGTGTGTATGTGTAGAGTGTTGTGTGTTGAGCATAGTGCATGGGCAGGCACTCAGACACTGCGTATTTCTCAAGCAACGGCCTATGTGGTCATGTGAATCACATTTACACAGCGACATGTGCTGAAGAACACAAATGTAATTTGTTATGAGCCATGACATCTCCCCAAGTGTGCATGTTTGAAAAATGCACATTGAATTATGTGATTGATGTGGTCCCTTGGTTTTTATCAATGCAGCAATTACATGCTCTGACTTTACATGTAATTATTAATATATTTTGTAATTATTATCACAGATGCGAACAAAAACACATGTATGGTGTATGGAGTTAAAGTACAGTATGGTGTTTTGCATGCGCAGCGAGGGTACAGTAGTTGGGTCTGTGTGTCTGTGTGTACATGTATGAATGTCTTTTTAATTATTTGTACACACAGTATAAAATCAACTCTCTTTGTATATTATACTAGTCAAGATGTGCATGCATAGCTGTTATGATAGTTTTCCAGTTTATACACATCTAGGTATGTACTATGAAACGGGGCATGTGGGTAGCGCCCTCGCTGCGCTCGTGACCCACTTCCCAGCTCGGGTTGCAATGTAGCGTAGACACCTGCTCCGCGTCTAACCTATATGTAGATAAGAAAACAGACCATCAATTATGACATTCTTTGCATACTTAAAGTAAATTTTGGAGTAGTTTATACTAGGACATGTAGGTGTTGTGCAGCTGTAATTGTCTCCTAGGAAACAGGATCCTGAGAGTCTTGTGCATGTATGCATAGTCTGTATGTTTTTGGCTATACTGTATACTGGGATTGGTACAAAAGGATTTGTACAGCATGATAACATGTGGGAAACATGCATTCTAGTACTTTTTTAGAAGGGAAGGTCAGGCAAAAGGATTTCCACTGCTACATCTCATGGTCCAATGTCTGCTACTTTTGTTGGACTGTTTTAGACGTGTTTATCCATAAGCATCGACTCATACAGTTACCACCCAGAGCTTTAGTGCAGGAGAAATGCACTGATAGTTAATCACGTGATCCATGTGGTCCTATTATTTGTGACCGAAGCAAGCCTACCTATAGTCCTCAGAATGCGGGATATCCTGCGTGTGTGCGGGGACGGACACTGCACATACAGTAAGGTTGTATTTACGTGATTCTAAATACATCGTTAAAAAACTGCTCGCGCTCGCTAGCCAAAAATGTGTGGCTTTCGTGTCTTCATGTTGGTGTTTTGCCCCACATACATATTAGCAGTTGTAAGTTGATCCTCTTCATCATTGGCCTACTTTCCAGTAAACCCTTTAAATTAGGTATTTGTAACCTGCATTCACAAAAACAAAAACTTGTGGTACACATGTATGGTGTTAATTCTTGTAGTGTTTTTTTGCCTACATCAATGAAAAGCACTAAAGTGCAAACCCTCGGCGCAAAATGTGCGCATTGTAGCATTCCTGTAGCTATGCTGGCCATGCGTCATCGACGGAGCCAGTAGCACGAGTCTCACCGTAACACAGGCTAGTTGTATCAGAGGGCTCAGTTAGAGCAACTGCTCAGGTGTTTCAGAGGCTCTCATATTTTCTTTATTCGCGGAGGACCTGGGAACGAGGCTAAGACCCTTATCTACCACTATAATCAGGGTTTGCTAGCTGTTAGGGGTGGGGATAGGGGTAGTGTAGCACGTGTACCAAATAATAATTATGTGGAAGCACACTGTGGTTTGTAACTCCATGCACAGCCTGAGTGTATGTCTGGTGGTCCGGTGCTTTGATGACGCCGACAAGTCCCCCCCGTCTCTGTCACTACACCTCGTTCCCCACAATTCTCTCCCCCTCCTTTCTCTTCTTAACCCATACCAAACACACACACACACACACACACCAATACATCACTCAGGACCATAGAGTAACAAGCCCACTTCCCCCTTAGGAAATTCCATACCTATGACATCACAACTCTCCTCTATAAATACCCCACTGTGTGTTAGGTTTGCAAGTCCCCCAGAGAGCCTAAGGTATGTGATTGTCAATACAGTACTGTAAGCTGTAGATTTTACACTAGAGTCTGTGACATTGGATATGTGGGGAGAGTTGGCTAGCCATCAAAGATCTTTAACCCACCGTCCCCAGTTCTCAAGGCTGGGCATCCATGTCCTACTCTTGTGCTTGTATATGTAGTACATACACACACATATTGTTCTGCACTAACATTAGTACCTTGCTCTCCTAGTTTCCCTATTACTCACATAACTTAGGTGCCCTCACAAATATTATGTAATATCATAAAATAACACAAACCATAGTAGCTCCAATATATGTCCCCAAGTAGAGTAGAAGTGAGTCAACAGTTAATGATGCATACACTTTTGACCACTAGGCAGCCACACGCGGTGAGGTTGGCAAACGCCTCCCACAATCTGTAGGACTATCTTCCTTTTCTTCCCCCAATACCCAACACACACAGACCAAGTACCGTAACCCTCGCTGCGCATGCGCCCCGAGGGTAATTACTACATTCTTAACACACATAAGTCATAGGCTATGCAACTTGGTGAAAAATTATGTGACCTCACAGTGTGTTGCTTACCCCTGCCTTCTGCCTTCTGTATATGGCAAGTATACACTGTTCTACTTTAGGTGGCAGGGCACACTCTCAAATAGTGATTGCATATGTGTTATTTAATGCACTGACTCACCAGCTTACTGCTTGAGAGAAGCCATGAAGGATGGCTACATTCCCCTCAAAGACGACCTGTTCCTTATTCATGGACCAGGAGGGGTGGGTAGGGGTGGGTGGGTTTATACTAGTCGACATGTGCATCATAGACATAATTATACTAGGACATGTTGTGTGCAGCTGTAATTGTCTCCTAGGAAACAGGATCCTGAGAGTCTTGTGCATGTATGCATGGTCTGTATGCATGTATTTATTATTTGTACACTATATATTATATGACTCTTTTTTGTATATTACACTAGTCGACATGTACAAGCATAGATCTTTCTTTATAAAATTTTTTATACGTATGCCAGACATCTAGGTATGTATTGTGTGCAGCTGTAATTAGTATCACAGCCATGTAGGATGTGAACAAAAACATGTCATACACAGTATGGAGTTGAAGTACAGTTTGGTATTTTGCCTAAGAAAACAGACCATCAATTATGACATTCTTTGCATACTTAAAGTAAATTTTGGAGTAGTTTTTTTCAACACTGTGCCTATAAGTATAGTACTTCATCGTTTCTCCTACATTTTGTGATCATTTCAGTTCCAACAGCAGCAATCTTGAGAGAAGCCATGAAGGACGGCTACATTCCCCACAAAGACGACCTGTTCCTTATTCACGGACCAGGAGGGGTGGGCAAGTCGAGTCTCATTTCCATGTTCCTCGGGAAACAGAGAGATCTCGCTCGTGTCAGCACTGCAGTCGCGGAAGAGTCCCTCCACCTCTGTCCCGTCCGAGATGTGTCAACCTCAACCTTCACCGGTCAGTGGGAACTGGTGGACATCGACCGTCAGGCACGCATGGTTGCCCACACCAGTCGACACCTTCTCACGGAAAAAGACCAGCCACTGAAACAGCTCCTTCACTACAAGAAAGTGACGCCGGAAAAATGGAGGCCGAAAAGGAGGGAGAATCCGAGGTGCTAGCCCCTGCCGAGGCATTTCTGAAATCAAAGAAAGGCCTTCCGAAACTCACATCACAAATCGCTGACAAACTCAGTGCAATGTTCAAAAAATCTCTCACCAAGTCCCTGGGAGTCGACCCACACAATATTGAGGGTCTCTTTGCAGAGATACAAGAAGATCTTCACAAGTCAATGCGTGACTGGTGGGATATTCATGATCTGCTTCTCTACTACTCCATCCGCCTGCTTGACTCGGGAGGCCAGCCACAGTTCCACGAGGTCGCGTCCATTGTCGTGCCGGCTGTCACGGGCATCATCTCAGTCTTCAAGCTCTCTGAGCCTCTTGCTGTTCACGGAGAGGTGGTGTTGTACAAGGATGGGGTACAGGCCAACGATCCTTACAAGTCGTACCTCACCAATGAGCAAGTGATCCGTCACAATCTCCTTGCCATCCAGTCGGAGGTTAGCCAGAAAGGGACGGAGGAAATGCCCAATCTCGCGTTTGTTGGCACATTTCTTGATCAGCAGGACGCCTGTCCTGAAGAAACTCCCGACCAGAAGGACGAGCGGCTGCACTCCATCATCACCGAGATCCTCCCCGAAAGGACGCAGCAATGCGTCATCAGCAACAGTGGGTCTCTGCAGCAGGTGATATTTAAACTCAACACCAGAACACCCAGTGATGAAGATTACCAGACAGCAGGAAGACTGAAAGCAGCTCTAATGAGCAGGTCACAGGTCAAGCCCAGAAACCTGCCTCTCAAGTGGTGTGGGTTCGAAGTAGCTCTTCGCAAAATGATGGAGAAACTAGGACGCCAGGTTCTCAGTCTGCAGGAGTGCGAGTTCATTGGCTACAAGCTTGGCTTCGATCCCCCATCCCTGAAGGCGTGCCTCAACTACTTGCGTGAGCTCCACATCCTATCGTTCTACGATGTCCTGCCCAATGTCGTCTTTGCCAGTTGTCAGGTGATCCTGGACAAGATCACTGAGCTTGTCACCTACAGCCTAGAGTTGAAGAAAAGGGATCGGGTTAGCACTGGGGTCGACCGAAAGTTCCACCAGCAGGGAATCCTATCGCTGGACATCCTCCAGTCAGAAGCCTGCTCCAAGCACTACAGTAGCAAGTATTTCGTACCAGAGGACCTGCCGAAGGTCCTCAAGTCGCTTTTCATAGTCACAGATGTAGGGCCAGGGGAGTACCTCATGCCTTGTGTTCTGGAGGTCAACGACATCCTCCCATCTCCCCCAGTTCCTAAAGGCAACGTCCGATCTTCCTTTGTCCTCCACTTCTCCAAGAAGAGCCCAATGCTTGGAATCTACTGCTGCACCATCTCCTACCTGCTGACTGCGGCTGGCTGGAAGCTGTTGACAAGGGATGGGGAGGTAGTTCAGGTAGCTAGGAACAGCATCACTTTCGAACTGCCTCAGAATCTTCCCGGGAAACTGACTTTCCTCGATCCCCTTTCCTCCTACCTGGAGGTAGCTGTCGATCTTCAATCTGTGGCTGCACAGCACAGCGCAGCGCTCTACAAGGAGATTCGCGATACGTTTGTCGAAGCAATGAAGAGCGCAATGCAAACCCTCCACTATGAGGTGAGGACACCAGAACTGTCCTTCCTGTGCCCTGAGCAGAGCTCTCGATGCTCCGCCTTCCCTCATCTTGCCACACTCAATACCACTCACAGCCTTCTCACCTGCTCCCGCAGTCCACACTGCGTGGCCCATCCTCTCACTCCTGACCAGAAGATGTGGCTCCCCACTCCTGCAGAAGGTAAGTTTGTCATACTGAGAGACAGGTTTCATAGCATAGAGGTTTGCCTTTGCCTTGTGTTGTGTTGGTATTTAGCCTTGCCTGCTTAGCAGCCCTGGTATTCTGCCTAGGGAGCATTTGCCATTGGGTTCGAGTCCCAGCTCATTGAAAGAGTGGTGTTGTTGATTTGTTTCACCTTGCCTTAGGTTTAGCTACACCCCGAGATTCATTCAAGTATGCTTCCAGCTACAGTGACAGCTACTGTTTCTCCTCGCAGGTCCTGAAAAGAAGACAAAACCAAGACGACAGAAAAAAGCCACCGCAGCTCCTCCTATATCAAGTATGTATTTTGATCTTTCACAGAAATTGTCAATACTTTTAGAGAGAAAACTATACTCAAATTGCACTTAAGAGTGACTCCCTCTGTTTTTCAAATGCAGTCATAGGTGATGAACCAACCGACTTACTTTGATAGATTTGCCTTTAGGAGTTGGAGCATATTGCGACAAAAATAGGCCATGCAGGACCCTGACACCTTATCCAGCATGTTGCCAACCTATTGAACCTAGTCTAATGAAAAGCACTGAAGTGCAAACCCTCGGCGCACTGCGCATGCACGGTACTGTTAATTGATGGGCTTTGGTATATAGTGTGCATTTCTTCACGCTAGTAGCGCGCAGAGAGTCTGACACAGGCTAGCTACACTAGTAGATAGCATGCGGGAGTCGATACACGCCATTAGTTGTGACTACATTAGCCTCCAAGGTACACAAAGCGAGCAGATTAAGCCCAGGACGATATGCATATTAGCTTTTTCGCTTGTTTTCATGACATATCTCTCGAACGCAGTCGCTTCAGGAAAATTGCCTAATAATTTTTCGGGCTCGCGTAGTTCTGAAGACGTTGGTATCACTCACGGGCGCCTCGTAGCCTGTAGTGCAAGAATAGCTGCTGACAGACAGACAGACACACACACAGAACGACTACCGTAACCCTCGCTGCGCATGCGCCGATGGTTAATAAAGCGATGTGTGTAGTCCACCCACTGAGGGCTCTAATTTGAACTGTCTCACTGTGCCTACAGCTGCTGAGTCAGCCACGCCCTCTCTCTCCTGTTCATCTTCTGCAGTTCCCCCCACCTCCCAGCCTCCCTCTCTGTCTCCACAGCTCCTGCCTCCTCTACCACTGCCACCACTACTACCAACACTCCTGGTGAGTTCTGAGCTGATGTAATTATTAGATGACATTTTTGGCGAGCGGGAGCGATCCAACTACAGATATACAGCCACTGGTGATCACAGGGAGGAGTATAGTTTGTCAGTCCTCCGCTGCTGGAGGTGTGCCTCTCGTGTGTGCGATGCCAGCAAGAAGGGCGTGCTTTCCAGTCCTCAGCTGGTAGACGCTGCCGCCTGCGAGCTATGTCTCGTGCTCCTTGGCTGTTTCTGGAGCAAGAGGCTGCCTCCTGCGAGCTCCCCTGTAGTAGAGGCGTTGTTGTGCTGGGATCGATGACAATACGCACAGGTGTAGATGCATAGGATTGGACAAAGAAGACTGAATTCTATGGCTTTTGCCTTGGGAACTACAAGTTTTAGTGGGTGGTTGTTTCTCAGTTCACTAATCACTTGTTGCCTGGAGTAAAAGAACAATAGAAAAGTGTATCATAATAATTATGTAGCACTTATCCCAATTAGTGCAGCTGTCTGGGCCTCTGGACTGTCAAAACTGTTTAGGCAAACACACCTCATAAGGAGCATCAAGTGTTTGTGGCTAATCAATGGCCGCCCAGGTACTCCTACCAATGCCGCCCTAGCAAAGACAGCACTTGGAGCGTTTTGGTTTAGTCCAGCGAGGGCTTATAGGTGTATGAAACCTACTATTGCTATTGCTATTGCTATTGCTTGCTCTGTGAAGTTGTAGGTCGATTGTTTGAACAGAGCTCGCTCCTGCACACCATGGCTTTGGGTATACACATACGTAACGTAGTGTGGCTCCATTGCATTCCTTGTGGCCACTGGAACCTCCATACTTTCTATATGGGACATACATGTAACTTTGTTAGCGAGCGTCAGACGTAAACACAGGCTGTTCTACGGACCTTACGTGCTTTGAACATCTGGTTTTGGCCGTAGTTTAGCGGAGTTACGGCGGATTTTCCCGACTGTAAGGGCGCTTGTATTGCCTTCGCATGCTACCAGTAGTGTAGCTAGCTCCTGTCTCACTCTCCACGAGCATGCAAGAGACCACGAGTACGGTGGTATAACCCAGCCCATCAATTAGTGGTACCGCAATGCGTTTACGTGGTGCGTAGTGCACCGAGGGTGTGCACTTCAGTGCATTATTTTGTAATTATTATCACAGATGAGAACAAAAACACATGTATGGTGTTGAATTACACTATGGTGTTTTTGCCTAAGAAAACAGACCACCAATACTACATTATTTGCATACTTGCTTGAAGAACTAAAGTGCATATCCTCTGGAACTGTGCATGCGCAATATGCTAATTGATGGGCTGGGCTATGTGTATGCGTTTACTTGTGGTCTCCGCTATTAGCTCGCGGAGAGTCTGACATGGGCTAGCTAGTAGTAGATAGCATGCCATTCGT